GACTACTTAGATTTAAGTAAAAATATTTTTATATAAATTCTTAGATATCGCTACTGTTGGAGCAAACGTTCTTATGTAATAATTTACCATGTTTATTCTAGTAATCTGCTAAATAGGAAAATAGCAGATGGAAACAAAATATAAATTTATACTAATAAATCATAAAGAAATAATCGGTTTTTATGACGCTTTTCTGTAAAAAAAAACTCAATACGACCTTTTACGCTAACAGTAGCGATATATTAATTAACTTTCATATTTAGATTATTCTTATTTAAAAATCTATTATTCATTCTCTGTCACATTAATTAATAAACATTCCAGTATACCGTACTTTAATTAAAATTTGTTAAAAATGTTATATGAGGAGTTGATGGGGGAGGGGAAGGTTCAATCAAATATATACTAAATTTAAAAAAATAGTATTTTCAATTATTAAGCCGATGTTTCGACCCACCTTGCAGTTCTTCATCAGGGTGTGGCATCTGGCACTGCAGGAGGCAGTTGGGAGACCTGCAAGGGGGTCGAAACGTCGGCGTAATAATTAAAAATACTATTTTTTAAAATTTAGTATATATTTGACCGCAACCCTCGATCAACTCCTCATATTATATCGCGGTCAACCATCTCTACATCCTTAAAAATATTATACGTTTCTTAAGAGGATTACATTTTTCTCAAGAATCCAACAGGCACTGAGGTATACTATTCCTCATAACAGATTCTATTCAATCGGGTTTTACTGGACAAAATATGTCATTGATGTACACTTCATGAGGTATTTTCTTTTATATTATTTATATATTTTTTTTATTTTATTTTTTTTTTTTGTAATTTCTTTTTACTATTTTTTTTTTCTGTTGGCGCTACAGACCATATTTTGAGATATTTCACCGCGAGATGTCGTCTCCTAGACTACGCCCGATCGGTGTGAATTGCCTCCAGTAGGATGATGGCTTCACATATCCGAAATCGAAATCTCGGTCAGCGTGGCTTTCCCTGGTGAACGGTCACCCAAATCGGGCGCGGTCACCCATCCAAGTGCTAACCACGCTCGGCGTTGCTTAAAAAAAAAAAAAAAAAATATATATATATATATATATATATATATATATATATATATATCATAATAAAGTATTTTGTTCACAAAACTATTTTTTTCCATTTAATATAAAAGAAGAAAGGAACTTCGTAAAAAAATTAATAAATGTTTTTACTAGCCTAAATTCAGGTTTTAGCTGGGGTGTTGTTTTAGAGTCCAATTGATTCAAATTTATGTTTTAAATTGCGAATATAACATTATTTTATCAATATTCACCGGGCTTCGATTTATATAGGACGATAAATAACATGGGCCCTGCATCCAGTTCCCATCCCCTATAATGGGAATTAATTACAACTATTTGCAGCTTATTGTTCCCTCAGATCCGGGGAAAGTGAACGCTTAGAGCGGAAAAGGAGATTAATTGGACCCGCATTGTGCCTAGGCGCGGCGAGTCCCACACCAAGTTCCCACCCCCTGCTGTCTCAACACTCTCCCCTAAGCCCTTATCTGAGGAGATTCCGTGTGCCTTGTGCTCCATCATACGATAATAACCTTATCCAACCTGAGATGTATTGACTTGCATATCTATTACATAAACATATTGATAGATGGTTAGTGAAGTTGACCTCTATGTATATATTTATAGTTGGTTTAGTTGTAGGGTGCCGTTCATTTGAACTTTGAACGAAAGTCGAAGTATGGTACTCTATATATATATATATATATATATATATATATATATATATATATATATATATATAGAGAGAGAGAGAGAGAGAGAGAGGGTGAGAGAGAACTATTAGAGTTATCACAACAACTATTTCCAAATTCTTCTCCATGTTATAAATTCTCTTGAAATATTGAAAGCTATTACAAAATATTAGTTTGGCTTCTGAAAATATCATTAAACAACATAATGTCATCGATTGGTAGAGCAAAAAAAATTATTTTCCAAGACGTAAGCTTTTGATAAGGCGTGACATGGAGGATTGAATTCCAATCTTAGAATTACATTCTTATTTTGAAAGCAGAAACATTTTGGGAACGAATTATCTAGCATAAAACGCGGAAGGCAGGAGTTCCATGGACAGTGTACCGAGACCATTATTTTTCAAGCAGACACCATAACATAAGCAGACTTTCCACCTTATAACAGAAGATCTTATCCCCAGATGTCAAAAGTGTGACAACATTTGGCGACGATAATCTAACAAAAACCTAATTATCACAAAAAAGTGTATTCATTAACTCATTAAAATTATCTTTAACCTAAAAATATCCTCAACTTACCATCTAACAATTACTTATAAAATCTTTATGAGCTTATAGGATAGACCTAATATATTTATAATTATATAATTAGATTGCAAGTATATGCCTATAATCCTATAATAACGTGTAGTAAATTTTGCTAATGCCATTCTCATTCTAGTTATTTTTTAATGGTTTATAATAATTTTATGTAAAATCTTTTTCAAACAAATGTTCGATCTACAATTTAAAATTATGTACCACCGAAGGGGATTTGAACGTATCACATTATTTTTGAGACTTGCTCCATCGTACAACACTTCACCTTTACTACAACAGAATGATCAAGCTAATATTATATTTGAATGAAAACAATGGCTTGATTTAAGAGTTATTTTTATCCTACTTCAATGGAGAGTACACTCGGGGACTGTAATGGAGTAGAGGAGACAAGATATACGAGCATAGGCTGTGGAGGGCGCACCCCTAGGCCCACTTAGCTCTAGTGGTTAATTGGTGCCAGGAAATCCACTTCTAATAACTTCTGTTTAGCCTATGCTTCCTCTCCTAGCTTCAGCTTACTTGACTATTATTATTCCTATTTCTCCATACTTGAAAAATATCTACAGCACGGTTATTTTATTTTTTCTATTTATGTTTAGAATAAGAATTAGATTAAACAAAACAACTATAAATCTTAAAGCCTGATTGCGGTTTTTATCTCGTCTGGTTTTCTCTCAACGTCAGTTCAGACCATACTGCGGCTTATTGTGGCTCAGTAAGCTCGTCTGATCTTGAAAAATGAAAACGATTCCTAGATCGTTTTTCTCTGTTAAAAAATAAAAATAATAAGATGATTTCCCTATCTTATTTTATCTTCTTCCTCATCATATGTAAGGTCCATTCATGCAAGAAGTGAACATTTTCCAATCACGTTTTACGCTTTACAGATCGAGGACCAAAATCGTACTGTGTATTTTGTCAAATCCAAGTCACCTGCACAATACTTTCTGTCATTTATCGTATTTCGATTTAATATTCAGAGATTGTTTAAGTTAGTGACCAGATCACCTTTTATTAATTTTATTAAATTACTCCTTACTTTCGTTTACACTTGCACTAACATAGTTTCCTGAACAACAAGCACGTCCAAAGTTACCAAATAGTGGAGAAAAATTAACAAAACAGTGTACAGAAGCTCCAATCAACACATTATTTATATTTTTTTTTTAAATATGAAATCTTACAAAAAAAAGTTGTTTTTTCTTGCACATTTTTTGTTTCTATTTTTATTTCTCATCATCGAAGGTTAGGAAAGTTCTGTATTTGTGTGGGTTAAATATAATTTCATACATCAAGGAACAAGTATGGTTCCATGTCTATTTGAATTTCAATTTTTCGGAGCATTTAAATGTTCAAATTGACCATAATATGACAACAAACTTACTAATTTTTAAATATTATCTAAGTTGAAAACAGGATTACCTCACAGCAAGTAAGTTGGTTTTTTTTTTGTAGTAGTTTTTAAAAACTGTGGTAGTAGGAAGTTGAAAAAAAACAAAACAAACAAAAACAAAATAATGAATACTTAATAGTTGACCGTTTTATTATAAAGGAAGGAAATGGTCAGTTCTAAATGAAACTCCTTGCTGAACACACCTCCCTGAAGAAGACCTGCAAAGTCTGGTCGAAACGTTGGCTTTTAAGAAAATAGTTTTACCACTATTTAGTCTATTTATAACCGCCACTCCAGACCATCTCCTTCGTTAAAAACAAAATAAGTTTTTTTTTAAAATCTAGTTAAAAAAAATACGGTGTGTGCTTTATACCATACGACATAAGTGAAAACATCAACAAAGTGAGGTTAATAATATGAAATATAAATTATAAATAATAGCTTATTATAAAGAGATGAAATGCTGAACAATTATCCCGCTTAGTGTATACAGGCCCGATTGTTAGTATCTGAAATATTTTAATCCATACGTTCAACTAACCTCGTTATCACTTGGTTTTCGACACTATTTTTTCCTATTTGCCTCCCTGACACGGCGTCGCGTTAAGATAAAATTTTGAATTATTGCCAATTACAGAGGGGATGAAATGCTGAACTATCTTTTCGCTTACGGTATGCAGGCCCAATTCTTAGTTTCTGAGATATTTTAATCCTTATGTAAAAACATCTCAATTAGTCGACTTTACCCGTTAAAACTTCGGAAATCTGACGGATCAATCTAATTCACTCTCCACAAAAAATTGCAAAACGCGAAAAAGTTTTCACTTCAAAAAGGGCTATAGCATTGAAAATTATTGTTTTCAAACCTCGAAATTTAAGCCTAGAATTTCTTTGCTTTAAACTGAGATATCTTTGGACAACCTTTTGCTCTATAACATAGACCTGAAAGTTGAGGCTCACCATCTATTTACTGTTCTACTTTTTTATTTTTTTATTTATTTATATGATATTTACAACTGTATACAAAAAATACATCTGGTAAATTCGCACATGGATATAACATGAAACACATGTTGAGAAACTACCCATTGGTAGCACTCTCCCGTTCTACTTTTAAATTTATAATTAAACATCTGTCTCAGAAATTTCTCAGTTTATTTACATGTGTATCAGTGTGTAAGTAGGTTAGAGAAAAGCCCACTGTTGTGACGTAGGCAGTGTGTAGGTAGCGTGCTCCCAGGAGACAGATTATCCAGCAACGAGGTCTTCCTTTTGTCCTGGCCTTCTTGATCGCTGTTTATTAGGCCGTGTCTTTTCTCCCGCGGTGTCCTTTGTCTCCAGGTGCAGGTTCGATTCACAAGGATGCACGGGCCTGTCTCAGCTACGAATCCAGGCCTTTTCACATGCATCGTACTAAGCGGTAGGTCGGATCATCGTAAATTTACTCTCTTCAGTGCTATTTGGTTAGGATTAAGCTCTTTTGTATTCTTTCCTTCAATTGCAATTTCTGATAGTTGAATTATTGGTAACCTAAAATGCTTATATAATCCATAATAAAATATTATTAAATTATTTTAAATATAGATATATGATATGCCTGTTGGGCCAATTCTTTAAGATTTTTATTTATATTTTGATTCTCCCTGCGACACTTGAGGAGACAGCCCTGATGAAGGTCTGAACTTCAGGTCGAAACGTCGGCATATGTAAAAAATAAATATTATCATTTATTTTTGCCTTCCTTTTTGACTGACCACCCCAACTATTCTTCTCTTCATTTTTATTTATAGTCTAGTCAATTAACGATTTTAGAGGGAAAATAAAAGAACACAATATCTGACTTGGGGACTTTGTACGGATTAGTTAGGAGGTATGCAACCTATTTATATATAAATACAGGCTTATATAAACATTTAAGACTGTAGAATAACTAAAAATACGAATGTTAAATTTTTCTGCAAATCACGGAATTAGCATAATAAATTATACTTGATCTACCTTTTGAAGGATTGAAGATAATGAAGTAAAATAATATATATTTTTGAAGGCTATTTAGTCCTCAACAAATTTCGATCCTCTTGACTTTTTCGTAGAATGAAAAGATAATGAGTAGACTTGACAAATGAAGGAGAAAACGTTATAGTCCTGGAGCCAGAGCCCAAAATCGACCTGATCGCAGGCGAAAGTTTGATTGTAAATTACGAAAGTGTATGTTATTCTGAGTAAAAAGAAGCTTATCTGCCGTTCCATAGCCACTGCTTTCAAAAATGGCGGCTGATTTAAACAATATTAGGCCAATAATTTGAGGATCGAAACGGGAAATCCATTGCGAAAAATGTGAGAAAAGTTTTTATTTTTTTAACTTGTATATATGGGTTTAGACATATAAAAAACAACAATTTCTAACGCGAGCCACCAAGGAAAACTTTTTACAGCCTAAAAAGTCAGATTTTTTCGATATTTTTTGGGTTTTTAACCTATAACTCCTAAACGATGCCTCAAAGCGAAAAATGTACTCTTTAATAAATTAAAGAACGTTTAATTTTGTGTCAAACGAGTACATAAACTTTAAAATTTGGTTATGCGGTAAGGTATAAAACCATGGTCAACCAACGCTGATTACTATAATTGGACGCAAAATTTTATGCTCTAAAATTTTGATTCTATGGGTTTTCTCTCTTCGGGAACTCATTTCCAAGTTACAGGGCCATTTATAGTAATTTGTCTCAGTTTTTGACAAATTTGGTAAAATTCAGGGTTGGTTGACCGTGGTTTTATACCTTACTGCATAACCAAATTTTAAAGTTGGCTATTAGGCAAACTTTATTTTTTTCAGAATTAGGAAATGTTGAGTACGGATATCTCGGAAACAACGAGATAGCGAAAAAATGAATGGGATCGATACCGTTTCAAATTTTGTAAGCTCCAATGTTGTATAGGACTTGTCTATCTCTAGGATGCTTGGTTTTTCTGATATAAGTGACAATATGAAAAAAGTGACCTACTGGGTGCTTTCTCCCACTCTTGGTTCCCTTTTAAGGAGAGCCTACGTTTAGTATGTTTACGAACTATTTCGTATAGTAGTTAGATATTTCAATATTAAAACAGAATACTGCAATAGTAGTAATCACAACTCTTATATTCATCGTAAAAGTACAACACTGTGAGGTTACTATATCTAAACGTTCTTATTGATATTATCGATATAACCCTTATATCCAGTTCAGGTACATACTTACTTTCTTCAATATCATCTGCAATGAAATAAAGTTCTAACCTTTCAATAAAAGTGTCCCAGTCATCCTCATGTAAACGAAATTCACTTTTACAGGTCTCCATCCTGTAGCTTGCTCCTTTATTCTTTGTTTTAAGTTGGGCTACCTTTTCACTAATTTCCTTGATTTCTTCTTTCTTTTCATTTCGCAGTTTCTGCCCTAAAATTTGCCTTAACCTATCTACAGAATCAGCCTCATCAAAAACCACACCTAATTCTTTTAGTTTTAAAATAAAGTCTTGTTTCTTTAATTCATGCACCCACGAAGTACCTTTCTTCATTACTTTTATCCTCGTTTCCAAATGTTAAATATTCGAATATTAAAACACAAAACTGCAATAGTAGTAATCACAACTCTTATATTCATCGTAAAAGTACAACACTGTGAGGTTACTATATCTAAACGTTCTTATTGATATTATCGATATAACCCTTATATCCAGTTCAGGTACATACTTACTTTCTTCAATATCATCTGCAATGAAATAAAGTTCTAACCTTTCAATAAAAGTGTCCCAGTCATCCTCATGTAAACGAAATTCACTTTTACAGGTCTCCATCCTGTAGCTTGCTCCTTTATTCTTTGTTTTAAGTTGGGCTACCTTTTCACTAATTTCCTTGATTTCTTCTTTCTTTTCATTTCGCAGTTTCTGCCCTAAAATTTGCCTTAACCTATCTACAGAATCAGCCTCATCAAAAACCACACCTAATTCTTTTAGTTTTAAAATAAAGTCTTGTTTCTTTAATTCATGCACCCACGAAGTACCTTTCTTCATTACTTTTATCCTCGTTTCCAAATGTTAAATATTCGAATATTAAAACACAAAACTGCAATAGTAGTAATCACAACTCTTATATTCATCGTAAAAGTACAACACTGTGAGGTTACTATATCTAAACGTTCTTATTGATATTATCGATATAACCCTTATATCCAGTTCAGGTACATACTTACTTTCTTCAATATCATCTGCAATGAAATAAAGTTCTAACCTTTCAATAAAAGTGTCCCAGTCATCCTCATGTAAACGAAATTCACTTTTACAGGTCTCCATCCTGTAGCTTGCTCCTTTATTCTTTGTTTTAAGTTGGGCTACCTTTTCACTAATTTCCTTGATTTCTTCTTTCTTTTCATTTCGCAGTTTCTGCCCTAAAATTTGCCTTAACCTATCTACAGAATCAGCCTCATCAAAAACCACACCTAATTCTTTTAGTTTTAAAATAAAGTCTTGTTTCTTTAATTCATACACCCACGAAGTACCTTTCTTCATTACTTTTATCCTCGTTTCCAAATGTTAAATATTCGAATATTAAAACACAAAACTGCAATATTAGTAATCACAACTCTTACATTCATCGTAAAAGATATCTAAACGTACTTATTGGTATTATCGATATATCAAAGTTCGAACAAAGTCCTATTGTTAAAAATTGTGTTATTTTTATTCGTCTCTAAAGCCTCTTGTTGAGCGCACATTGACTGGACTATTTTTAACAAAATGTAAGGATATTGTTATTCTTGTATTTTGTTAAAAATTACTTGCTTGCCTCAACTTCTTATGTACTTGTAAAAGTTTCGTGCACTAAGGACCTTTCAGTTATCACCATCGGAAAGTGAACGTTTCTTGCGTACGCCAGATGTTGAGGACTTGAAACTGTCCGGAAAGAGTTATTGCGCAAGTAATAAACCTTTACTGCCTCTCCAGTTTATGCATCTCCATACTTTACGACCCTCCTCAGATAAGTGTGAAATTGTGACTACACGTTTCTGAACACATTAATACGCTATATTCTCACGTAGATAGATATATTTTTATAACAATGTTATAGTATAATAAAATTAGAATCTATAAAACCATTGTCTTACCTACAGTTCTTTATGGTTGCGAAACTTGGTCGCTTACATTAAGGGATGAGCAACGACTTAAGGTTTTTGAAAATAAAGTATTACGTAGAATATTCGGACCGAAGGATGAATTAACCGGAGAATTCAGACGATTACACAACGACGAATTGCATGAACTATATCCGAGTAATATAATTGAGGTGATTTCATCCCGGCGTATCAAATGGGCCTGTAAAATTGTTGGGCTTAGTAACGAGAGAATTCCTAAAAGGTTAATATTTGCTGTTCCGAATTGTAAACGTCCGAGGGGTATCTGAAGCGAAGGTGGGAAGATTGCATCAAAGCTGATCTGAAGGGACTAGGTTTGGACGGCGAACGGTGGAGGTAGGTGTGTAATGAGCAATTGGTGGTGTCGGCATCGAACCTTCGGGTTCGCCAAGCCTTTTATTATTTATTATAGTATAATAAACAAGACGAATAGGCCATAATTAATATAAAATATTAATTTTAGTCTATTCCGTTAAAGTTGGATTTTATATGTATTTATTATACTGACAATATAAAGCAGTCTTACGAATAGAGTCATTCTCCCACCTATGTCTTGTCCTTTCTTTCGTTTCGGTTCCGCTTTCATTACATGCATAATCCCGATATCCGACATGCACAACCAGTTTCCTCATTTAAATCTCTCCTTTTTAAGCAGCTACTCATTTTCCAACGCGATTTATCACGAAATATAGATGAGAGAACTTTTCAAGTTCTCCCAGAAATGATTTTGTTTACTTATGTTATTTTATTTTCTCATGTTTGTTTTATATATATATCTGTATGTTTTTAGTGTTTTTTTCTTCTTCTAATATTTTAATTACAATGAGATTTGGAACTATTTAATATAATGTATGGCCACACAGGCATTTTTTTCGGTATCTATAATTTGTCTTAAAGGGACAACAGTCCCAGGATAATAAAAAAAAAATTCATTTCATAATAACGTGTTTTAGTTATATTTCGAATACAAGAAAGTTACTGAAATCCTCTTATTCTGAACCACATCTCACATTTCTCGTAATAAAAATTATCGATTTGCATTCTCTATTCTGTGGTGTGCCGGATTCATTCTAAACCAGTCAATATAATCGTATGCCGTTTTGAAATCGATAGGAATTTGATGTACAACACTTTTATTTTAACTTTTTAAAAATTATTTTATGTAAGAGAAATATTAGTACGGAGTAGTTGAACTATTCCGTCTTAAATTACACAGATGGTCGCCTATGATTTCCTTGATAACTTGTTTGGAGTGAGGCATTCTGATTGTTATTTATTTATTTATTTTTTTCATTTCTTTATTGAGTATTATAACAATCTGTCTCTTGGACATTGGTTATAGTGAGTTAGGATGACATTCACACTATATTTACAAAAAAATAAAATAAATAGAAAAAAATAAGAAACTTAAAACTAAAAAAAAAACACATGCATACCTATATACAATCAGGCGATGGAACTCCAGGAGAACTCTGCGCTACTCTCCCAACCGCGTCACTGGTATTAAAGCCAGCGGAGATTGGTCGAGAGCACTTAGCCACATACACTCATTTCTTGAGTGAAGAATCTGGCCATTGCCAGAACTCCAATTATTGTTATTAAAATCAGTTCTCAGTTTCATATTGTAAATAGGGATCAATACAGATGCCTTCCATTATCTTTTTAACTGATTGTGAGTTCTTTTAACTGTTCTCTGTCTTTTAACTGAGTTCTTCTAAAAACAACTTCTACCATTGTTCGACATTTTTTTTTTCCCTACGCCTAAGTAACGCCTGTTTGATCAGCCATGCGTGCTCTAGCAGTCCAATATAATTTTGCTCTCCTAGAATAAGGGCTGTCGATTTTACTAAAGGAACATCGTATGTCCTGTAATGCAGAGCATGTATCAAGATGTTCTCCTATCATCATATCCAAGGAACATAGAGGGCATGTCAATATGTTCTACAAAAATGTACACTATCTTAAGTTATTGCTCCGAAATAAAAATTACAATTTCAGATTTAGCTCTTTTGTGGTCGAATGATACTAAAATATGTGTTTGTTTATCGGTCGACGAACTGTAGAAGAGAGGACTAACAGTCCTGGAAATGGAGTTGAGCGGTGGAGGTATAGAGGTGTTTATCGTGGTTGCGCTCAGGGCTAACGGTTGATAGCAGTTGACAGGGCTTCGCGGTTGACTGGGCGCAGGAGTGCCGTGGCTTCACTCGCCCTATGCTAATTACTCGCTTAGCATGCGCTCTTATAACACTCGTGTTAATGTACAAGATCGTGCTATGCTGTTCATGTTAGTGTGTTCCTACAATATTTCAAACTCGGCTTAGCATGAACTTTTATTGACCTGATACTGATTTATATTATAAATTAATATTAAAACAATTAACAATTATATTGTATCTATTAGAATTTTATATGGACTTGGTATTTAGGAAATGGGAACTACGTATGTGTATTCTCATAATGTCTTGCAATTTATTTAATATCTATATTCAGGTTTAATTTTGGTCTTCAGTTATGAGGAGCAAATCTTATAATATTACATAGTATGATTTTTATTAAAATGTAAAAGTGGCCAACCGGGCAGATGGGCAAATAGCCCATTGCTTAATTTGTGTAAGTTATCCTGTAAAATCACAAACATTTTTTTATCTAAGCCTTTAGTAATGCGTATTGTTATAATATAATTTATTTTGTAATCGAAATAAAACACTATTATTATTATAATTTATATTCATGTGATACAAAAAAGAAATCCCATCCTGGTGTATAATAAGTTTATCCATAAAAATCAGATGGCATTGGCGTTTTAGTATTTTAATTTAAAATCTCAATGATTAAATTCATAAGTGCCTCAAGACAGCGACGGCACTAAAGAAAAATTGATGGAGGGGCAAACAACATTTTTTAATGCATGGGAATGTAATCCAGGCGGATCATAGGGGAGGGGAGAGACTTTCGAAATGGTAAAATGTAACCATATTTTATGGGAAAAAATTATCCCTTAAAGTATTATTGTTCGTGTAATTACATTGAATAGGACTTCAAGAATTACTTAAACATCATTTCATATTGGTAGTTAGTATCTTTCTTTTTTTTTCCAAAGTAATTATGGTTATATATATGGAAAAAAAGAAGCTTTCCTACTGAAGTCCCCCCAAAATTAAATCCTGGATCCGCTAGTGGAAGGGGGTATAGAGCCCCATACATAAAGGAGTAGCTTAGTAATCAGTTTATTACCTATATTATAAAATATTACTTCTCAAAGGTTTTTCTTGCCGGTACGCCGTATCTTAGTTGATTGTGAGCCATAATTTAAAGGTTCAGAAAAAATAGGAAAAACTTTATGAAGAAAATGAAAATGAATGTGGACATAACTTAAAAATATATAATCAATGTTATTTAGAAACGTTTTCTAATTTTTTACAAACGAAAAGAAAAATCATCCAAATCGAACCATTTTTTGCAAAAATACAAGCCGTTGTATTTGTAAAGTTTGCTTTAGTTTATTATTAAGAATAAATCTTTATCCAGAGAATTTTATTATTATTAAAACACTTTATTCAGAAATATTACAATTTGTCACAGTTAAGGACACTTATAATAGAGTTCAGAGATTGCAATCCAGAGAATAAAATTTATTTCTCCCACTCATTTACTTATTGCCATATTGTTCACCATTTTTGTATATTGTTCGTTGACTAATGTACTGTACCAATTATTCGCACGAGTCAAGTAATACTATAATTGTTATCTGCATGGTTTGACGTAGACAGTTAAACCATTTGTGTTGTTTTAGGTAGATGACTATAAAATATTGATGGGGCTGACCTCCCTTGAGATTGTAATATTAAGTAATAATCATGTAAAAATTAGAGTTCAAGATCTAGAAAAATAATTTTATTTTATGTAAGTAGAGGAAACTCATGTATGTAAATTGGAAAACCGTTTCATTGCGAATAAAAACAGTTACTCCAACTTAACAACCATTAGTAATTTCATCCTTACTTCAGTTGTCAATTATCAATTGTCAACTGAAGTATTGACTTGATCGATTCTTTGGTGCTGAGAGGGGACCAGCATTATGGTCCAGTACTATTCTGGGTATCGAATACTTGATAAAATATTCAATAATCATAACTCAGAATTGCTTTCGCCTGTCTCTGTTTAAATACGTCAATATTATTCAGGGTAAGTTTGAACTTTGCCATTTTATCTAGAGGGATGTGTAAAGCATCGTTTAATACCGTAACAATTTCCTACATTATTATCACGACAGTGACAGTGCCCTTGTTTTCACGCTGACAACAAGCCTGATGGTTATTGATTTATGTTTTAATTTATTTAAAACTTAATTTAAATTAATAAAACTATGTCACTGATTTAGCCCGAGCCAGATATCTATCCTTTCATGATAAACTCCAGACCTATCCAAATCCCCTTGTTTCCACCCTTGCTTCTTCCTCGAGTTCTGATAATTCTCCTAGACCTCTGAAAAGGAGATGACCTTGTGATCTTCTTACCTAGAATTATTTAGGGAGTGCTACCACTGAATAATATGTCTTCAAGCCTATTCATGTCATTATTTTTAATTTGTTCATATTTACTAGTTGTATTGGTATACAGTTGTAAATTTCATTAAATAAACAATAAAAAAATTAATAAAACTCAATTGGAATAACTAATTTAATGAAAATTTAAAATACCAATTAAACGCATTTATGATTAATGAAAAAATGAATCAAAATTATATAGTTTATCTCTTTTGTGAGAATTGAATAACTTAAAAACATTGGATACAGTTGATTAGGCTCAGTAGTTTAAAAGTAGGCGATCACATCTGCTAAATTAGTTTCACGTCGAAATAGGTATCCATCACGTAAATCCTATTAGTGCGACAACACTATTAAGGCAGCAAACATCTTACTGCCGTACAATTTATTGGTTGGAAATGCTGCAACTCACTGCAACTTTCTCGGTAGCTAACGTCATTCGTCGTCTATGGTCGCACCATCCGGACTATAATAAACCTCATTCCTTCGACGTCAAAACTTGGAAGCGTTCCTTAAGGACGTTGCTTCTTAGGCAGCAGGGGAAGAAGAAAGTTCCGTCCAGTGATTGGAGTGGCATCGAGTCGGGATGTGGTTTCATGTCGTTAATGGCATGAGGTTTACAGCTATCACCTCATCTCTTTGACATTCACTATCTCGCTCTACACTTTCTATGTTTAGGATCGAGAATATCTGTGTGGATTATATTAAATCAAATATGATTTTATTTATTTTGTTTTCTCAGATATTTGGAATATCTACAAGCCGGAAAAAGTCTTCAATGGAATGCACGACGATTTCATCGATTTAAAAAATGTTTTACAATCCTGCACATATTGAGCACGACTGCTTTTTGAGCCCTTTTTAAATATGTTAAGTTATGTCCTTGATCTTCGAACTGGATTTTCTGTACATCTATGATATTTGGATTATGTCGTATTTTTCAATACTAGATCATTAATATGGGATCAATTTTTACTTTTTCTAAATGATATAGCGTTTTTATCACCAAGTGCCTGGTATTTCGGCTCTGGTGGTTGCAATGTTGAATTCACTGGATACTTCTATCCTATGATAATAACAGTGTT